GGGGGGGTGACACACTGGTGGGAGGGTCTGGGGATCCTCCCCCAGAAATTTTGAATAAAGTAGAGGCCATTTCCTACATTCTGGTGTATTTTAACAGGTTTTAAAACATCTATGTTTACCTACATAAGTAAACACTTGATTCAATAACTATTTTAGAGAGCAACAAGAAGTAGCCTGACCAACAGCTCTCCTTGTGTGAATAGAGCACGCTTTGCATTTTTCACGAAATCCCTCTGACTGCAAAACGTTCATAATGTAAAACCCCAACAATGTTGTCAGAGGACAAAGAGGTACAGTTCCTGCAGGTAAGGGGAGTTTCACTTCGGGACAAGTTGAGGTTGCTGATTGGTCAGTTGCTGACAAGCCTGTTGGATTGATGGACAGGTGGTGTTGAGGATCTGACTCGTGCAAAAAAAAAATCATAGATTTTACTGGTACATTTAAGAGTGTCATAATTTATTCCATATTTATTACAAATTTATTTAATATTTTTGTGAATCTATGGTTTGAGAACTGAGTTTCTTTACAAAATCGTAATGATGGTTTCTTACTTTTTCAGCAGTGCTGAGTTAAAATTTAGGAGTGCGTGAGCACCCCCAAAAAGAGGCTAAAATCGTAACTGCCCCCAAATAAATTAATCTAGAAAGGCTGACAAAGCAGCATGAACTTGCAGGAGCAACACACTGAGCTAAAAAAAAAAAATCACAGAGAACCAGACTAGGCAAAAAGCCTCGTAATGCCAGACAGAAGGTGTACAGAATTTAAAGACGAGGGCCGATGAACACCTGGACTAATGTCGAACAAGAATAACTGAGTGTGGGCGTTTAAAGTAGATGAAAAGAAGAAAATGACTCAGAGAGAAGTAGTAAGTGGCTCAGAGGAACACATGGCATCAAAAACTAAACACAAAGGAGATGTTTTGTTCACCTGCATGAAGGTGTTAATTAGAGAGGAGGACAACAGACTATCAGGCTTGATGCTCCGCTGCAGGTTTGAGAAAGCTGGAATCTGAGACCTTCTCCTCTGTTCAAAGTTGTTTTTTTCACGTTTAACTTCCTTTACCCCCTACCAAACCAGCTAGCCTTCTATGTCCAAAGGTCAACATTATGGTCCTCAAAAGCATGTATGTTATCCTTGAGATGTAAGTGTATGGCTGGCTTTTCTGTGTTGAGCCAAGCATCTGCGGAGAGGCTGTTGAGTTTCTCCAATATAGAGGTCTGAACATTTCTTGTTGCACAGAACTGCAGACACCACCCCGCTCAGTTTGGGAAAGGAGGTTTTGTCATTAGAATAGACCAGCCCACAACAGCGTTAGTACTTATTTTTTTCTACCAGACAACAGGGTGCTGGAGAGCCCTCATGCCCTGAATGGATGCACGCAACTGGGCTTGTCATGTATTCCTGGGGGCAGTGGAAGATGATGTGCCTATCTGTTCTGTCCGTGGAGGACTTAGAAGATGTGTAGATTATTGTATTTATGATAACAGGGTTTCTGCTTTTTGAAATTGGAGGATACCTAAGATATCGACAAATTAGGAAGACATCGGCAGCAGTTTTGGCCGTGGTAAAGCTGCCAGCCTTATGTGAAGGATTAATTTATGCCTTGAGCTCTCAGACTCGAATTCTTAACAAGCTCAACTGCATGCTGGACATGATTTCTGAGAAACATAGGCCACTTGCAGCTCCTGGAACACGCCGGCATGATGGATTCGACCTTGGAGAAAGCTAACGATCATGGACCGGGCAGAATGTCCACAAATCCGTCTGTTTGGATTCATCATTGAGTGTACCAGCAGAACTTGAAGGCAGACAGAAATCCGAGTTTGCCTGCCCAAAACAATTGTTGTTTACCTGAATTTGGCCTCCCCGCTGGCCTTGGACAGTCCAACTTATCTCAAATTGCTCCTGGAGGATGCTTAAACTAGAAGATCTAAGCCCCCCCCCCCCCCCCCCCCCTGCGACCTAACTGTATAAATCTAATAATAATAAGTCTAATAATAATAATAATAATAATAATAATAATAATAATAATAATATGCCTCCAACAAAGTTAAGTCAGGTCCTCTGGATGGTTTCTTTGTGTTGAAACGTTTCATCTTTCATCCAAATCACTTCATCAGTCCGCGGAGCCAAAACAAACTCAATCCCATAAGTGGCTTACTCATATAGTGGGCCAACCAGTTTGATGGTGATAAGATGGTTTCTGGAGTCTGCCCTCTCCCCCATCAACTCCTCCCAAGCTGCCATGGCCAAATTGCTTCAAAACCAGAAACCATGTTATCACCATAAAACTGGTTGGCCATAAAACACATGTGAGTGAGCTACTTATGGGACTGAGTTTGTTGTGGCTCGTCAGACTGATGAAGTCTTTTGGATGAAAGACGAAACATCTCAACAAAAAAAGAAACTGTCCAGAGGACCTGACTGAACTTTGTTGGATTTTTTTACCTGGATTTTTGTGCATGAGCCATGATATAATATGTCCTACATTAGATTTCAGAATCTTGAAGCCAAAACTGTTCAGTGTACATGAAAGGAAAAAAAAAAAAATCCAAATTGTTTTCTTCTCTTGTTGTTCTATATTTAATGTGTCTGTACCGCTCAGTTTGACCGTGTAAACTGTTGAGACGTTCTGAGTCCTGTTTTTCCTCCCAGAGCTCACACTGTTTGTTTCGTTTACAGAAAACTGGATGCGTTCATTTATGATGCTGCAGTCTTGAATTATATGGCGGGCAGAGATGATGGCTGCAAGTTGGTGACGATCGGTAGTGGCTACATCTTTGCCACCACAGGTTATGGAATTGCTCTACAGAAAGGCTCCTACTGGAAACGTTTAGTTGACCTGGCCATACTCAGCATCATAGGAGACGGTAAGTCATTTAGCATCAACATTTTAAGTTTTAAAGCTATTGCAGGTTTTTAATGTCAACACTTTTACAGTTTATTTATTTATTTATTTATTTATTTTTGGTTTCCCCTACAACAACCCTCCCTTTTCTCCCCCCATTCCTCTTTTAGAAAGCTATCAGGAGCTAGTCTTAACACTCCATTTCATCATCATTACTCTGAGTGTGTGTTTCTGTGTGTGTCTGTGTGCGTGTGTCCACCATGTCCTGTTATGTTTACTCCTCCAGATTGTTCTGAATAATAAGCTGTGAGATGGAGCGAATGGAGGCAAATAAGAGAATCAGCCAGCCCAAAATCAAACCGCTGAAACAACTAAAGTGATTTGCTTCACTTACAACTTTTTTATTTAGGCCAAAACACCTTCCAGGCAAATCATATGCAATCACCACAATAACAATTATATCAATCTTTCCTCATCACTTAAAAAAAAAAGACCTTTTCCCCGCTCTACCACCTGTTTACTTTCTATTACTACTTACATTGTAAGTAGTGGGCAAAAAGTAAATTAAATATATTTAATGTCAGTTGGTTTAATAAATAAAAACAAAATACACAGTAATAAAAATTGGGCAATTATAAAACAACTCCAATTGGAGGAAGGTGCATATTCACTTTCTTTGTGTTATGTATTTTTAATTTGCTCAATATTCAAAGTTTTGCATGAATTTTGTTTGCCTGCTTTGTTGTCCCATCCATCCATTTTCTTTACCCGCTTATTCCATTCTGGGTCACGGGGGTCGCCGGTGCCCATGTCTAGCAATCACTGTGTGAGAGGCGGGGTACACCCTGGACAGGTCGCAAGTCCATCACAGGGACACATAGAGACAAACGAGACAAACAACCATTCACTCTCTCACTCACACCTAGGGACAATTTAGAGTTACCAATCAGCCTAACATGCATGTTTTTGGTCTTTGGGGGGAAACCGGAGCACCCGGAGAAAACCCACGCATGCACGGAGAGAACATGCAAACTCCACCCTGAAAGGCCCCTGGACCGGGGTTTGAACCAAGAACCTGCTCGCTGAGAGGCTGCAGCTCTACCAATTGTGCCACCGTGCTGCCCCCTGCTTTGTTGTGTACTTTTTTTTTTCTTTTTTTTTTAAAGCTGAATTCTTTGCAGTAAATGTCTGTAACATAATACTTTTGTTATTTTAAGTGACTTAAAACAATTTTTTTAATTAACCTAATATAGAAATGACAGTAATATGTCTGAGAGACTTTCTGCAACAATTTGCTGCATCAGTTCTTATCTTTCCTCACTTTCATTTTTTCTTTCCTCCTAATGCAATGGTACCCAACTCTGGTCCTTGAGGAACACCATCCTGAATGTTTTAGTTATTTCCCAGCTCCAACACACCTAATTCACTGATTTAATTACTTCATCAAGTTTTGCACAATCCTGTGAATCGCCCATTTATTAAAATCAGGTGTGTCGGAGCAGAGAAACAATTAAAACATGCAGGATGCTGTTCCTCAAGGACCAGGGTTGGGAACTCCTGTCCTAATGGAACCTCTTTTTTTTCATTAATCAGTTTCTGTTCCTTTGTTCCTCGCACCCTTTCTCATGCTGTCATTTACAAGTGTATTTCCTTTGTCTGTTTGCTTCCAACAGGTGAGATGGAGGAGCTGGAGGCACAGTGGCTAACTGGGATCTGCCACAATGAAAAGAACGAGGTGATGTCCAGTCAGCTGGACGTGGACAACATGGCGGGTGTCTTCTATATGCTGGCTACAGCCATGGGCCTCTCTATCCTCACCTTCATCTCTGAGCATCTTTTCTACTGGAGGCTGAGATACTGCTTCACAGGGGTCTGCTCTGGAAGGCCTGGCATGCTCTTCACTATCAGCAGGGTGAGGAGAAGGAAACATAACCCTTTTCTTCTGCAGGAGCCGTTTTCAGGAATTCAACCTGTGTTTGACAACCTTGAGTTGTTCTAGATTTGGTGTGCAGGGGGGCTGCTTTCACCAGTTTGAATGTGCTGCACTCAAAGCTATTTCCTTATCAAAACACCATCACCTAAAGTGCAGCAACTCTGCTTTACAGCATTGACTCAGGCTGTGAGGCACTGAAGCCTGGTGCAACACCAATATCAGGACAGGGGAAGGAAATGTTGGGCAAAAAATATTGACGTTAGACAGAACAGCTGATCTACAGACTACTGTGTAAAATTAAATGAGTATTGGTTTTGCTCATGGTTTAAAATCGGATGCAAGAAAACAACAAAACTACTTTAATGCAACCAATACAGCTTTTTATTTTTCTTCTTTTGAATCATTTGCTTTATCTTATAAAGGGCTAGCTTGTTGTTTAAGCATTTACAATGTGTGCAAATTGGCTGAAAACCTACATTTACAGGAAAACCTACAACCAGAACAATTCAGAAACATTCAGACGATTAAACCTCTGGAAGCAGAACTACAGTCTCATCCTCAAAAACCCAACTGTGTAGCAGTTTTCTACACAGAAATCTTATTTACTGTAGTTTTCTGTCATTTATAAGTGCACCACATTAACAGAGTTGTGAGAAAATTCATGTTGAATATGAAACTTTTTATGCTTTGCACTGTTTTGGTTGAAATCAACAGCTGCGTGAGCACTTAACTCCCCTCTGGACCTTAAAAAACACTTTGTACCTGTTTGGAGCATTTAGGAGGCGGAGCCAACACAAATAATTGTTTCTGAACACAGTTAACTTTTACAGCCTGATGAAAAATACAGTTCTATCACTGATCCAGAACTGAAACGTTACATGGGGTTATTTATTTTTCTTTATATACTTTTGTATGAATGTTTATTGTTGTGTGTACCTCATCTGTGGTTTATGATTAAAATATCTCTTGTAAAAAAGTCTCCTCGTGACTCAGTGAGACTAATCTGCATAAATAAAGTTCAAGTCAAGTTTGTCATTCACATCTCATGTGGCACATGAGGTGGAATGAAATTATGTACTCAAGGTCTCAGTTACCCCCAATAATAGCAAAAATATAAAGTGTAAAAAGAAACGGGAAATAAGGATCTAAGATATCCATTAAGATAAACACTATTAATGTAAAACAATACAGTGTATCAACAGCAGCCCGAACATGAGTCTGTGGTGAGCAGATAGGTATGAATGATTACATCACCATGAGATAAAGGTAAATAAAGGTTGAATGAAAAATGTTTTTGTTATGTACACATAAGCAGGAATTTGTGACTCTTAAGTTGGAAACAGACGCAGTTATCACTATCAAGATACAGAATGACTGTTTGGATGTTTATCAGTGCACTAAAAGAGCAAAGAGGAGGACAGATTTGATCTAGAGTCCAGATGAGGCAGACAAAACATGCTGCTGTACATATGAACTGAAGGATAAACAAATCAAACTGCTAAAAGAATGATAAAATAAAACACACAAAGTGGGTTTGTCCCTGCCTCAAAGTAATATGTACACACGTTCCCAAGTAGGTCTGGTAAAGGTAAGAAATGGTTGCACACATGCAAGTAGGGCGAGTTGAGTTAACCACAGACGGACAGATCCGCACACACAAACTTTAATGTACACACAAAGTACAAATGGGCACACCAAGACAGGCCACATTTTTCATTATTCATATGTGATGCCTCTGTTTTAAGCAGAGCTTTTATTCCAGTCAAGCAGCGTTTCACACATTAAGTGTCGTACAAAAGGAAAGGGTGATGGGTTGAGGAAAGTGTACGGGTTGTGATGGGATAAGTATGTGTGTCTCTGTGTCTCTTGGCGTGCCCATGCTGTTAGAGCAGTGATGCTGGAGGTTAAGTGGCTGTAGGAAGAACAACTCCTTTCACTCAAAGGACCCCCCCTCCAGTGACATCATCCCTTAGATTTAATTTACCAGGCACCTCTGAGGCAGTTCTTTTAAAAAGTGGTGATTACCTCCTCTAGTCACTTTACAAAACAAAATGAGGTTAGGGTTTGCAGAAAATGCACTCAAGAGATGATGTAGCGGGCTCTTATTATTCTTTGTAAGGAAATTAGTCTTGTGCATGTCTGAATTTTTTTATGGTCAAAGCCACTGGTTGGTGAATTACCTTTACTTTTCTATTACCTTTTCATATCCTTCTGCCCCTCATTTCCTCACCTTCTCTTTTCCATTTAATTTTCTCTCTTCTTCCCCTCTCAGGGTATATGGAGCTGTATTCATGGTGTTCATATAGATATGAAGAAGAAGACGCCTGAGCTGGACTTCAGTCCTCAAGCCAACATGCTGCACTTGCTTAAGTCTGCCAAATCAATCGCTATGTCTTCTCCCAAACGCAACACTGTTCTCCTGCAACCTAGCATCCTAGACATGATGACAGGAAAAGGTAATGTAAGACATTTATAGATGGTGCAAAACACTTCTTATATTTAAACAGAGCTTGGATAAAATGTTGGATCTTCTAACATTCCATGTCAGATAATTATGGCATTAGTTTGCGCATGCGCAGCAAAGGTGGGACTGTATGTTGTGTGTCCAGACTGTAATCAGATTGACTGATGTGCACATGCTACATGCTAAAACAACTGATAGTCTATCAGCTAACTGGACAAGCAGCCTTCCAAATATCCATCTATTGTATCTGTTGTCTGAGAAGCGTGTCATCTTGTCTCCTAGGTAACTCACTCCATAGTCTGCCTCAGAAGGGTCCTGGTCTCTATAGCAACGCTGCAGGTCCACAGGGTTTCCTGTCATTGTCCGGGAGACATAAAAACCACCTTAATAATGCTGCACCATTTCCCGGGCAACAAAAAGGCCCTGCTCACCAGACCAGCCCCAACAAACCTCAGCTGTCAATCACCAACGACAACGGCAAGAACCGCCTGCCAGGTCCAGCCATCACTGCATCAAAACCCCGAGCCTTGTGGAAGAAAAGCGTAGAGACACTGAAAACTCAGCCAAGTGTTGTATCTCCAGGCCCAAGCCCCACCCCTGCTTCAGGGGGCAGCGGACCTCCAACGATGAAAAGCCAGCGCTACCTGCCTGAAGAACCACAGCACTCTGACATGTCTGAGTGTTCCAGTCGGCCGCCATCGCACAAAGATTCTGACTCCATGGCAGTGAGGGGTGGGTTTAAACCAATTAATCAGCTGAGGAAGAGGGGTGGAGGTGGAGGAGGAGGGGGTGGCGGAGGAGCTAAGATTTACTCCATTGACTCTGACCAGGCCAGCCTCCAGTCGATCCCTCCCTACCAGAGAGACAGCCAGGGGGGAGGAGATGACCGCAGTTACCCCCCTGACCTCTTTCCACCTGAAAGCACTTACTCACATTCACACCAGTCGGACGCACCGATCATGCAGCTGAGCGCCAGCCTTTTGCACCACAGCCACAGTGCCGAGGCTGACCTGCATTCCCTGAAAGATAAGAAATACAGCACCTACACACACAGCAGGTAGGGTTTCCCAAACAAAACAAAACACTAAAATTGACTCACTTGTATCAAATGACTTTTTTTGTATGATCAGTGTTCTTTTTTTAATTCAGTGCGAAGGACAAATCTGGAGGTTCGTTTGAAGCTCCAACTGGAGGTTCGGGGACACAAGGGGCCAGGCCCGGCCACTGTCGCACCTGCCTGACCAAGCTCAGTGGTTACTCTGGCCTCTACACCGTTCGCTCACCACAAACTCGCTGTGATGCCTGCGCCCACCTGGGGAACCTATACGACATCAGCGAAGACCACCTGCACTCACACTACTCCCACACTCACCCACACAGCGGAGACATGTTTACTCACTACCATCCGCAGAGCGAGCTGGGCCTGGTGGGCGAAGGGGACGGACTTGTCAGCCACTTCGAGCCCACCCCCTCCTCGCCGTCTCCCATCCCCACCTCCTCATCCGCCCAGCACCTCCAGCTGAGTCGTCAGGCCTCCTACGAGAACGTGCTTCCAGATGGCATTCCGGAGCGGCAGTTGCAGCCTCACACCCACATGAGAGGACTGAGTTTGCCTGACAGGGATAGGGACAGGGAGCTGACCCTGGATGATGGAGCTTATGCTAATGTTCTCACTATGCGCTCTGATCGTCCATACAGCAGCCGCAGCCCCCCCTCGCCATCCCCCTCCCACCACCACAGTCTTGATATCCCTATGCCTCTGCCCCGGCGCTCAAAGAGCCTCTTGCCTGATCGTCCATCACACAACCCTTTCCTGCAGTCAGCCCCTGGCACGGTACAACGAGACCCCACCTCCCAGGCTGCCACGCGCCTACCGCAAAGAAGCTCAACTCATGAGATCTACAAGCAGAGAATGCCCATGACACTCACACTTGGTAACCATGGCAGCCATCACATCAACCAGCACGGCAGCCATATTGACCAACAGGTGTTCTACCCTCAACAGGAGCCTCCAGTGATGGCCTACATGGTCCCACCTGCTGCTTCTCAGCCAATGAGCTATGTGACAGCACCTCGAGCCTCGAGCGCAGGTGGTAACCGACCCCGGCTGTATCGCCGCATGCCCAGCATTGAGTCTGATGTCTGAGAGACACAAATAGCACGTTCAATCTCACAGAGACACGCTAACACGCAAGCATGCAAGAAAAGGTATGTGTGACCGGACCAGGCAGTCTCTGAATTTAAGCACATCTTGAAAACACACAGAAAGGTCAGCACTGGACTATAAAAGTAAACAGTGATGCCGAGTAATAAAATCATTGTTTCTTTATTAAACCCTCAATAAGGAAGCAAAGGGGGCCACGGGGACACCTGGAGGCACAGTTTGAGATGAGAATTGTGTGAGAGTGTCAATGTGTGCACTAGCCCCAAGCTGTGGGCAACGGGGCACAAACAGGCAACGCATCTGACAAGACAGATGGGAGTCCTGGTGGAATGAGAAGGACACTGTACTAGCAGTCTAACAACAGTGGGATGTAATGCAAGACACGGCAGCGTTTGGAAGACGAGCCAACCTGTCCCGCCCTCGCATCAACTTCTTGGAGATAAAGGGGTCACAGAAAACCCCTTTCTTTCTGAGATCTCTCACACACACATACACAGTCAACCCCACCCCCTCTTCAGGAGTCTCCTGTTGCACTATGATTTCTACAGTCAACCCATTTGTTGTCTGAGCCTCCAAACTGCACTGCCAGCATGGCTTAAAAAGTAAACGACACTAAAGTAATCCTCGACTTGAATGGAAATTACTATTTTAAGTAAGAGTAGACTGGAAGGCAGGAGTCAGGAAACGCATCCGAGAAGTGTGTGAGCTCCTGCCTTCAGATGTACAAACACTTGAACACACACAAACAATAAATAAAAAAAAAACAGATGCTGCATCTGTTTTAAGGGAAAGTTAAAACTTGCGACTGTTTGTTATTGTTGATGTCAGTTAATTGAACATTCCAAAAAAAAAAAAAAAGTGGACCAAACCTGGCCACCAGTAAAAGCCTCTCAGGATGAGAGTGTGTGTTCTAGTGTTTCTAGATCTAAAGACATACAGTACAGCATCTTTGCTTCCTCACTTAGCTAGCCTTCAGGTCTTACTGCATGCTTCCTACTGCCCTGTGTTACAGTTAAACTCCTATACAGGGTCATATATGCACACAACTACATCCGCACAAACACAGTACATGCGCATACGTACACATATCACACACGCAGTAGTTTAGGATCATAGAGTAGAGTGGGTGTGTGTGTGAAGCTATCAGATAGCTTCTCTTTGTGCACTTTGTAGATTTTATACCCCGCCACCCACACAGACGTTTGACCAAAAACACTTTTGTATTGAAAAATATGAATATTCTAAATCACTCGCTGGATAGATGTTTTCGGGTTTTTTTTCCTCTTATTTCTCTTTAACGTTGGGTTTTAGAGCATCTGAAAGGGCACTGCTATTTCAGTTCCCAGAATCACGTAATATCAGTAGTTGTGAGGACTCATCCGATTTAACACTGTCTTTTATAGGAGACAGAGATGTTTCTAATAACTTTCTATGTAAAACAAAAAATATAATAAAGATTTGAGGCCTGTTTGATGTTTTTTTGTGGTGAATTTTAGGACTTGAGTGTTTCGGCGGAGCAGTTCTGACTCATCAAATTAATACTCCTGGACGAGCGGCTCATGAGCTGGTGCAGCTCTTGTGTGTCTCTCTGTTGGCGAGAACACGACGCCGCATTTTAACAGAGAGAGGCACGTGGCAAAGAGGAGTTTGTACAGTGACTCGTTACAGTGGCAACGCACACACACGAGCACGCACTCGACAAGCTGGCAAAGTGTGTATGAGTGTTTTAGAAATCCATAATCTACTGAGTAAGGGCATTGATTTTTCAGCACAAAGATTTTGATGGAAACTGGACTTGATATCCCATTAGCTGAGTGTCTGTCTCTATTCTCTCTTTTGCTATTCTCTTTTCTCTCACACACGAACAAACACACTCACTTATATACAGCGCATTAGCTGCAAAGAATGCAAAACAAAATAAAAAAAAAATAAAAAACAACACACCTTCAAATGGTGAGCGCTGCCCCTCCTTTTGAAGATCATAACAGGTTTGTTGTGTGAGTTATATGCACAATATCAGGTTGCAATATTATACTTCTGTACAGAGAAATCTTTGTTTTAAATGTTAAAAATTGAGTTCATTTTGTTTGATTTGAATGGTATTAAGTATTGATCTCATTTCAAATACAATGTGGCTTTTTTTATTCTGCTTCTAAAAAAAAAAACTAAAAAAAACCGAAAGGCATGTTTTAGATTTTTCTGTGATTTTATTTCCCTGGAGTGTTGTTGGTTGGGGCTACACTGTACAGTCATCACTACTGGGTTAACTCATAGTTAACTATGTAGGCTAGCTAACCAGTTAACTCAGTACACATAGCTGGGTCTTTTATCTGAATCACAATCAATGACTGTCCAGCCTATGTGGTTGAAACAAAAAACCCCACCCCACCTACAGTGTTCTCCTCCACAACTAGTCTGAGTTTTTCCACCTTTGAGTGTGAGTATGTGTGTGTGTCTGTGTGTGTGGGTGTGTTTTACACTGTGCAGGCATTTGTATAAAACAGAGAATGTGGTGCGTGTGCTTAAAGATTGCTTATGTGTGTGTGTCCTTTTTGGTACACCTCTCTTTCGTCCTACACGCAACATTTGACCTTGCAGTTGCCCGTGTACTGGTAATACAAATATAGTTACACAAACGTGCACACACATGTGTGTGTCTGTCCTGGTTGTGAGAGCTTATAGGGTTTTTGTATGTCCACCCTCACATGTTTTTATGCCGCATTTTAGTTATTTTATTTTGTTTATTTTTAATGCATGATGTACTACTTGTGTTTCTGGTGGTACCTATTTTGCTGCAACACCCGTTTTATTTTTTTGTTTGTTTTTTTGTTTGTTTTGTTTTGTTTCTCTGATATGGACCTTCTGGGTTATATGCACCAACATGTACCCCCTCCACCCGACTGTACCAACCTTAGGTCAGATTGTGGCTCCTGCCTGTGATAAGCAGCACGGCACCTACTTGCACAATGCCAGCTGTCGTCAAGACACATGCTCAAATGTATTTCCAGACACAGTCGATATCTTATATTGGCCTAGCTGTTCGTTTATACAGCATTAAGTGGGAGGGGTCTGTTGGTGTGTAGTCCTGTAGGTCACCCTGCTGTGTATCAAACTTGTGTATAAGTTCAGGGGTTTCAAAGCTAAAGTTGTGTTGTAAATACTACCTTATCACTCAGTACCTCTGTACAATCTGTAAATAAGTAAAGGTTACATTTTTATAATATCTGAGTCTTGTAGTTTGTCTGTCAGTCTGAATATTCATCGTCTGACGTTGAGTTCGAAGATGCAAAGATATCTGAATGTCAAAGTCAGCCCCCCTGAACTGGCATCAAAATCCAAGATGGCTGACTGGCTTGTGATTACGTTGTAATCGTTGCGCCGTTATCCTCTTATTTTAACGTTTGTTGTTTTTTTTCTTGAATACAGTATGTTGCTTTAGTGCTTGAAAACATAAAATGCAAGAGAAATACATTGATATTGACTCTTTTCCCCGCTAACAATAGTTAGCCTGATCCCCGAGTGCAACAAATAAGACAAAAACTATGGAATTAATATGGTTTTCCATAAAAAACCTAGTGTTTTATAACTTGCAACTGGAGCACAGTCAAGTTGGATTTGATGTCATTCTCTGATCTGAGTTCCAAATTCTGAGCTAAACTGAAAGCAGCGTTATCCATTCAGCTAGCTAGCTAACTATTTAGCTGCCTTGGCTATGTAGCTAACTATCTTTAAACTTCTATTGGATTAAGTCAGAGTCAGAGAGTCAGAGATTCTTTATTGTCATTCGCACCTCATGTGGTACATGTGGTGGAGCGAAATTATGTACACAGGGTCCCAGTTACATCCAACAATAAAATGTATAAGAAAAACAGTAATAACATCTAAGATATGAACTAAGAAAAACATCAACTAAATATACACTAAGCACTAATAGCATAAAAACATTGAACATCAGCAAAAACATGAACATGAGTCTGTGAGCGGATGTGCACGCATGAACACATCAACATTGAAACAGATCAGCAGCAACATTGACACAGATCAGCAGCAACATGATGTGATTTTTCACAGTGATTATTCTAGTTAGAGATTCATGAGTCTAACAGCCTCAGGGTAGAAGCTGTTCCTCAGTCTAGTGGTTCTACACTTAATGCCCCTCAACCTCCTTCCTGAGGGGAGTGGGGCAAATGGGGATTAAGTGATGGTTTTAGACTTTATCATGTGGAAGTAAAACTAAAAAGCTAATGAGACAGGGATACAGATATCTATTTAATCAAAGAGATTTCAGTCATCTTTTTTTATTCTTCTTTCGGCTGCTCCCTTCGTCAGGGGTCACCACAACAAACTAACTCGCACAAAGACTTGGCAATTATTTTTTATGCCGGATGTCCAACCACAGACCACTGAGCTACCACAGCCCTCTGTGTGGAGCAGAGAGGTGTCATCTAGGGCGCCTGGGGGAGAAGATGGTGGGGGTTAAGGGTCCTGCTCAAGGGCCCAGAGTGGGGCAAATGAGGGATCCTACCCACATTTTTTTTTAATTGTTGGTACCAGGAGTTGAACCAGCAGTCTACCGATCACAGGTCCACCTTCTCTAACCTCTGTGCCACCACTCACTTTTCATTTAAATTTCACTCATCTAATGCAACCTAGATGTTTTATATTGGTTCAAATAAAAGTAAACTTTTAAATTTTACCTTGCTATTCTTTACTTTGTTTTTGTGTTAATAGTTTTATTTTGTTTGCATTAAACCGTTTTACAAGTACTGCACATTTAAAATGTCAAACACATTTTTGTATTCAGTGCAACAGACACTGTTCTGTGTCATAACATGACCAGCCTTTAGCAGAAATAACCGTCTATGCAGTTAACTGTCTGATGCAACTGTGGCTTGAATTGAGTTTTACAAGAAAACAATTTCACTTCAAGTCCTATAAAACCCATGTTGTGATGGAATCCAGACTGTCATTCTTCCAAGATGAAGCACAATTTGCCATGTTTTGGGTAAAGCTACGAGCGTTTTAAAAAGCATTAGTACATATTGTTGTAGTGTAGATAGAGACTTGACTTCTGAGCAGGACACTGGAACATTTAGGAACAAAAGTCAGAGTCATGCAAAGGTCCATTTGATAGGTATCCTATAGTCAAACTCATACTAGAATTGCATTTGGGCATCTGAGTGACTTGAATCAAAAAGTGGGGTAAAGAGACGTGGCA